CGATCGAGCCCTGCCCGGGGTTGGTCCCCAGGCGCACGGCAGAAGAATTCGCTCGTGTCGGACCGTGGCCAGGAGAGTTATCGTGACCCTCCACCACCACCACCACCACCTACACCACCACCTCCACCACCTCCACCACCTACACCACCACCTCCACCACCTCCACCACCTACACCACCACCACCATCACCACCACCTACACCACCACCACCACCACCTCCACCACCACCACCTACACCACCTCCACCACCTCCACCACCACCACCTCCACCGTTACAGAGAGGACAGACGGACAGAACGATTGCAGTGAGGCTTTGCACCTTCGTTGTGAAGCTGAGCCGGGCACCACAATGCGATGAACTTGGATAACTTCTGCGTGGCCGGTAGAGCAGAGTGGACGGCACGTGACTGGTCAGGAGCCGCCGCCCAGAGCTATGGGTATACTGGATGTGGTGTGCCGGGTGGGAAATATTTCCTTGGGTGGTCTGGTAGGGTGCAGTTGGTGGCACACGGCAGGCAGTGGACCACAGCCATCGCCACTACCACCACCACCGCTACCACTACCATCACCACCACTACCACCACCACCGCTACCACTACCACCACCACCACTACCACCACCACCGCTACCACTACCACCACCACCACTACCACCACCACCACTACCACCACCACCGCTACCACCACCACTACCACCACCACCACCACCACTACCACCGCTACCACTACTACCACCACCACTACCACCACCACCACTACCACCACCACCACCACTACCACCACCACCACTACCACCACCACCGCTACCACTACCACCACCACCACTACCACCACCACCGCTACCACTACCACCACCACCACTACCACCACCACCGCTACCACTACCACCACCACCGCTACCACCACCACCGCTACCACCGCCACTACCACCACCACTACCACCACCACCGCTACCACCACCACTACCACCGCCACCACTACCACCGCCGCCACTACCACCACCACTACCACCACCACCGCTACCACTACCACCACCACTACCACCACCACCGCTACTACCACCACTACCACCGCCACCACTACCACCGCCACCACTACCACCACCACTACCACCACCACCGCTACCACTACCACCACTACCACCGCCACCACTACCACCGCTACCACTACCACTACCACCGCTACCACTACCACCACTACCACTACCACCACTACCACCACCACCACCGCTACCACTACCACCACCACTACCACCACCACCGCTACCACCACCACTACCACCGCCACCACTACCACCGCCACCACTACCACCACCACTACCACCACCACCGCTACCACTACCACCACTATCACCACCTCGACTTATTTGATGACTCCCTGCGCCCAAGGCGTGGCCCTGTTCAGATTTTTTTTTATTGCCGATGTTCTACATGATGTAAGTCGTTATCTGTTGCGCGGAGAGGCTGGCGGGGTGGGGTGGGTGGGTCTTGGGGGGTGCAATGTGCGTTTTGTGTTTTATATATATATTTGTTTTGTGTTCGCTGCCCTCTCCGTCTCGTTTGTCCGTCAGTTGTTCGTCCGCACCGGGCGCTATCGTGCGGAAGCATTCGGGGAAGGGGGTGGTCGCTATCTGGAGGAGGAGGAGGGGGGTGCGCACGTGTTGCGCCAAAAATACCCCACGGCGAGACGCGGCGGCGGCGGCGGGCACCGCTCGCCACGCCGGAGGACGCACGGCACAGAGATGACGACACACGACGACACCGCCACTACCACCACGACCACCACTACCACCACCACCATCACTACCATCACCACCACGACCACCACCACTACCACCACTACCACCACCACCGCTACCATCACCATCACTACCACCACGACCACCACTACCACCACCACCACCATCACTACCACCACTACCACCACCACCGCTACCACCACCACTACCGCCACCACCGCCACCACTACCACCGCTACCACCGCCACCACTACTATCTACCACCACCGCTACCACCACCAATACCACCGCTACTACCACCACTACCACCACCACCGCCACCACCACTACCACCACCGCTACCACCACCACCGCTACCACCACCGCCACCACCGCAGCCATCACCGCCACCACCAAAGGGGCTTCGTTTCTCGCGGAATATTCTCGGGGCCGCTGGTTGGTCCCAGGCGTAACGGGTGGATGTTGGATACTGGACGTTGTGTGCTGGGTGCGGGACAACATGGTTTTGGCAGGTGGTCGACCCAGAGAGATCCCCCTGAAATTAATCCCCGAGTTTCATCCCCATGATGATAATAATGATGATGATTTCACTATGTAACACGATATTTGTTCCTGGGTAGGAAGTCTTATTTTCTAATCGCTTATGCCTCAAAAGCACAGAAAATGGCTGTTATTCCCCACAAACTTTGCTTTTGTGACCAGAACTTTATGTGAACGCAGGACACAAATGCACACCGCGTTTTCTCATTGAAAATAGGTACGTTTCAAAATATCACTGCCCTGGTCACAAAAGCAAAGTTTGTGGGAAATAATAGCCATCTTCTGTACTTTTGAGGCATAAACAATTAGGAAATAACACTTACTACCCAGGAACAAAAAAAAGAATTTGTTACACAGTGTAATCATCATTATCATCAGTGTCTTCTTCTAAGGTGACACGTCAACGCTGAGATATCACCAAACCAATGACGGCTGCATTCCTGCGTCAACAGGGAGCCCATGAGCCAAGAGGTTGGACGGTACCAACAGGGGGTGGACAATACTACCAGTGTCCACCACTCTCAGTGTCCACCACGTGGGGTGTCCACCATTTGTAGTAGCCAACAGCGGGGGAAAATTGTGAGCGTGTGTACTGTCTGTTTAATAGACCCCCCCCCCATCCCTCGCTATTACTTTCACTTTGAACACTGCGTTTTTTCCCCCTCCTATCAAACATACTGCGGTGATTTTTTTGTGTCTGTCCATTCATCATTCAAAGCTACCTCGTTGACCTTGCTATCATGCCATATATGTTTTGATCTAGAGATCAAATGTTCCGGAGGGAAACCCCCATTGGTAGCACTTGCCACCCTACGTGGTACCGATAAGCCGTTTTCAGGCTGACAGGCAAATGTAATGTTTCAACTGGCCATGCGACGTTGTTAACGAAGACCAATAATACTGGTAGGAACCTCCTGGTTACACCAGGCCACAGGGGATTATTGTGTCCGTCCGTCCGTCGTGCAGGGAGGGGCTGGGTGGGGAGGGAGGGGCTGGGTGGGGAGGGGAGGGTGGGGAGGGGAGGGGCTGGGTGGGAAGGGTGGAAAGGGGGGGGTGGGGAGGGGATGGGTGGGGAGGGTGGGGAGGGGCTTCGTGGGGAGGGTGGGGAGGGGCTGGGTGGGGAGGGTGGGGCTGGGTGGGGAGGGGAGGGGAGGGTGGGGCTGGGTGGGGGGTGGGAGGGGTGGGACTGGGTGGGGAGGGGCTGGTCACCCCGTGGTGCCCTTATAAAACTCAACGTTTAACCTACTCACGCCGGCTTGTGCCCACCCTCACAGTCGGGCATATTTGTGGAATACACCACGCCGCCGTTGACCCTGGCCATTGACCGAGCAACCCAACGTTCCTACCAGCTCCCTCCGCAGGAATTTGTTGTGCAACGGTGAGAAGGATGCACCGATCAACGTTCGGCGTTAAGGTGGAAGTCCAATGAATGTCCGCTCGATACCCTGCGAGTTTTAGATATGAGCCACCCATATTGATGCAGCCAAAAGCTGCTCCGCCGAGGTTAAGCCATCAGTGACAACCTGGTAATCCTCCATCAAACACGACGACGGTGAGTGCTCAACGCAGACGTTTTGGGCAAGTGCTGTTAGCAAGTAGCGCCTATGAAGGCCGGCACGGCACACGAGGGAAGGGGTGGCCAGCACCACGCCCGGCCGATATTGCCTCCCGAGTGGCGGTGTTTACTACACACCGTACCAGGTTACTCATTTGAAGGCTGAGTCGAACTAAGGGAGTCCCAGCACCGGTTCAGATAATCCTCCCTGGTGTTGTTGTCCGTGAGCGGGAATCGAACTCGGGTCGTCGGGTTCGTAGCGCAGCGCGCTAACCGCTGCACCACCGCTCCCCAACAACAACAACAACACACACACGTTCACAACACTCCATCCACAACAGCGGTCCACACTCTCTCGATCGCTCTCCCATCGCCACACAGCCAACCCCTCACCTCTTCAGTCCCTCTGCCCACCCAACCTCCCCCCACCCCCCTAAAACCCACCGCCCCCACCGCCCCCACCCCAACTGCAGAAATGTCACCCGCAGTCAATCGTTCCACTGTCCACTCTTGTGACCTTCTTCTGCCTGTGCCCGCTCGCAAACCATCTCGCCCCCCCTCCTCTTCCCCACAACTCCCCTTAGCCCCCCCCCATCACCCCCTCCCAAAAAGGCCGCCTGGCTGTACACCCCTCTAACTGCACCTCCCTCTCCTCCCTCCCTCCCTCCCTCCTCCCTCCCTCTCCCACTCCCTCCCCTCCCTCCCTCCCCTCCCTCCCCAACACGGATTGTAAAAAAAAAGAACCTCGCAACTCTACTGGCAGCGCCTGAGTCTGCGTGGGTTAGTCTGCAGTGCAACGACCTACGGGACGCTTCGCCTGGGAAAAGCCAGCTGGTCTGGCTTTGAAAACCCCAAGAAGATCCAGGAGAGGGGTTTTTTTTGGTTTTTTTCTTCTTCTAACCCACACACACACACACCGCAAAAAATAAGAAAGCCGCTGGTCGAAATTTATTTGCTAAACATTTATTTTCTGCGTCGTTTCATCTCTTCTTTTTTTTCTGAGTCATCTGCATTTTTTTTCCCACCCGTTTCTTTTTTTTTTCCAGCTTCTTCTTCTGCCCGTAAAGTTTACTTTCGTTGGAAACGGTGAAGAGATTTGTTCTTGATTTTGTTTTTTTAGGGGTGGTGGTGGGTGGGGGTGGGTGGGTTGGTTGGTGGGTGGGTTGGTGGTGTTGGAGGTGGGTTGGTGTGGAGGGAGAGAGAGAGGAAGAGAGAGAGAGAGGAGAGGAGCGATATTTTCTTTTGGTGTGAGATCGAGAGAAAATCGTCCGACTGGCACGGGTGACGACAAGGCAAGAGAGAGAGAGAGGTCCTTCTCGATCTGGTGAGTAAGATCGTTAGCCCCGGCGTGACGGGGGGAGCAGTGGTCACGATAACCGTGTAAAGATGACCCGATATAAATGAAACGTTTTGGTTGAAAGTTGTCTGTATGCATACATTCTTAATTTGGAGCTTTCGTGACTGCAGGAATTACTCTTTGGTTCTTTCGGTAAAGTCACGTATGAAGATAAAATAATAAATTAAATAATTGCATACGACGTTTCGATTGCAACACAAGCAATCATCATCAGGTATAAATGAAATAGCAACAAAAATCTAACCAGAAAACTATAGACAGACATATAAGCAGACAGATATCACAGAGATACATAGAGAGAGAACACACATAGGCACACAGAGAGAGAACGTCTCTGTGACGAGGCCTTAAATAGAGAACTTCTTTTGCGCCGTACGATTCCAACCGTGCTCATCGGAAAGAACAACAAACTAACCCGTTCAAAAAGACAAAGCACTTCCAAAAGAAACAAGTTGTCAATGTAGATGATGTAAAAGTGCACCGCTTCAGTGGAAGGTTATTTTTTGCCCAAAAGCATTGAGACGTTAAACCAGCGCTAAAAAATCAACCCGTAAAAACAAAGTTTTTCACTATAAATCCTTTATATGCATGGCGGCTAGAGTCCTCTCGTCCTCTGGCTTGAGATGGCTGCTACCTATGGGTCAGATGATTGCCTGCCGCCATTAAGCAATTGGTAATTAAATATAAAAAAAATCCTAAAAAGTGTAAAGTTATGGGAAAAAAATTCACGAAAATAAATTGTCACGCACAACGAGCCTGTGTGCAAAATGTCAGCTCGATTGGATCACGGGAAGTGGGTTCAAAAACGACCGAAAGATTTGCACGGTCGTAAGCGCGCAAGCAAGTGAACTTAATATAAAGGATTTAAAAAGAACTCTACGTGTCGTACATGGACAAACGCGTTTTGTCGTGACAGCTACCACCACCCTTCCGCTTCCATCACCGCCAACGAAGCGCTTCCTGTGGACGAGGGCGTGTTGGGAGTCGTTGCGGATCTCACGTGTGTGCGCGCAGTTATCCTCTCATCTCATTTGATTCTTGACTAAAGTCCGTGATAGCGGTGGGATGGATGGATGGATGGCTGCTGTGGTGGTGGTGGAAGGGTTAGCGACGTACTTGCCTCGCAAACTCCATCCAGCATGTTGAACTTCTTTCGCACCGTACCGTCGGCGGCCGTGCGCACGATCGGAGGTGCGGGAAAACGCGTTGTTCCCTGGTGGGGTAAAGACGTCTGGCTCAATGCGTGGAAGAGTAGGCCGAATACACTGCGCTAGAGCGCCCTCACGTGAAGGCACCTTCAGCACGGCGGTGGCCTGAGCGGGCACTTGCAGGGCCGCGCCTTTAACCGCGTGCATTTGACGACTGAGCGTGTCTGATCTTCAAGAGATAAAATGTTGCTTTCATATCTGTTTGTAACGTGTTTATGTAAGTGAGCTTAGCCGTTAATCAAGTCAGATGGCAGTCCATCAAGTGGGTTATTTGTGCCGGGGTGTGTGTCAGTGTGTGCGTGTGGGGAGCGGTGGCGTAGTGGTTAGCGCGCTGCGCTACGAAGCTGGTGACCCGGGTTCAATTCCCGCTCACGGCCGACACCAGTGACGATTATCTGAACCGGTTATGGGCCTCACCTGGTTCGACTCAGCCTCAAATGAGTACCTGTTGCGGTGTGTAAAAGCATCGTCACTAGGGAGACAAAGGCGGCCGGGCGTGGTGCTGGCCACCCACCCCTTCGTGTGCCGTGCTGGCCGTTCATAGGTGCTCGCTAACAGTTTTGCCCAATAATCTGTTAAGGCTACACGGGGGATATTTGTCTTTGTGTGGTGAACAGTTCAGTATCGGCCCCTCTACACGCCGTGGGGCTTCTTCCGACCCTCTGATTTTCTCCATCGCGAAGCAAACTGAAACTCGCCGCGTTGAGACGTGGAATTGGCCAAACATCGCAATGTGACAGCATCCACCTTCTTTACGCACGAGTTGTGAATACATTGCACCGTGTTGTTTTCAGTTTCAGGAGGGAGGGAGGTCGGCAGCCTCTTTAAGGAACTGATTCGTGACTTTATTCACCACTGTGCATTGTGGCTCTCTTGAAATGTTGAGTTTTTTTTATTTCTATTTTTTTGTACCGAATTCAGAAGTAAAATGACGCGTCTGGTTGCCCCGTTCGAGATTTACGCTCGGCACGACGCATCCGCGTCTTCACAATCACATCTCAATTCGCCAAACTCTCTAAATATAACGTACGAAATAATATTTGATGATGCTGCTGCTGCGTTTGCATTAGTGCATCAGCACAAACAACAACAGCAAAATGCAACACAGTCGTCAATACCACGGCGGCATTCGAAGAATTAAACAAATTAGGCGACGTTTTGGGCAATGGTCCTTACTCATAGCACATAAACGCACATTAAGTAAACAATAAACAGCCTGCAACTTGGAAAGTGTGTGCGGCCTCCATAGGTGGTGCTCACCTAACAGCACTTGCCCCAAGCCTGTTAAAGGCTATACCGGGGGGGGGGTCTTTGTCTTTTTTGTTACTTTTACCTTTTAATATGAGAACACGTTATGCAGATGCTCTATGTTGTATATTTATATATTTGTAAGTTTGGGCCGCGAGGTGGCCACGAGATGGAATCGAGTTTGTGCATTGTCTGTGTTTTGTTTGTGTATTGTTATCTTGTTTGTATATTGTTTATATTGTTTGTGTGTTTTTGTATATTGTCCGTGTATTGTCCATGTATTGGGTGTGTATGGTTTATGTATTGTCGGTAACTTGCTGTGCGGCATTGGTGGTGGCAAATGTGATTTGCGGTGGTGAAGATAGTCACAGTGTTAATTTTGGAGCTTTCGTGACTGCAGGAATTATTCTTTGTTTTTTTCGGTAAAGTCACGTATAAAAATAATATATGTCTGTCTATAGTTTTCTGGTTATATTCTATGTCGCTATTTCATTATACCTGATGATGATTGCTTGTGTTGCAATCGAAACGTCGTATGCTATTATTTAATTAATTATTTTATTTTTATACGTGACTTTACCGAAAAAACCAAAGAATAGTCACAGTGGTTATGCGAGTGGCACATGTCCCGGTTTTTTGTACCTCCGAGGTGGCAACTCTCCAGACACCCCCCCCCCCTCCCACATGGGTGCCACGTGGGTGCCAGGCTAGCACGGGTGGTGCCCGCGTGTTCTCTCCACTGCTGACTGGGGCCGGCCTGCGTCAGACAAGGTAGAGTGGAGTACTCGCCAATTACTCGATAATTACACGCGGAGAGCGACTCCAGCGTGGCTTTACAACAACTCCGTAACAGCTCCATAACAGCTTCATCATAGCAGCCTGTACCACCACCAACTAATCCGTGCGGAGTGCCAGTCGGTGGTTTTGTGTCAGTGGTGGTTGTGGTGGCATGGGTGGTTGGTGCAAAGTGGCTGTGGCATCGTGTGCTGCCAGTCATCTCGGTCATCTCGGTCAGTCGACCCGTGGCACCTACTGGGTCTGCCCCGTGACCTCCTGCCAGCGGGCGTTCGACAATTCACGTGGCCTCAAGGTGCACTTGGCCTGGCACAAGCGTCGTGGTGACGTCACCACCACTTAGTGGCGAATGGCGGTTGTTGTTGTTGTTGTAAAGTTGTATTGGCTACCACATTCTGATGATCTCCCCCCCCCCCCTCTCCTCCCCCCTCAACTCGCTTTTAAGGGATTACATCTTGAATCATTGCCTCACTTGATGCAGCTAATCTGGCTGTGACGGTCCCACCTGATGACGGAGACTTGTGTTGCCTCCGAAACGTCGTGATCTTTGTTTTATTTTATTTTTATTAATTTTGATGTTTTACCTACGTGACTTTACCGAAAAACCTAAGAATATGAATCGTTGCAGTCACGAAAGCTTCAAATCTAGAATGTTGTAAAGCATTTGCTTTGTTTGAAACAGCAGCCTCCTGATTGTGCCTGTGTGTGATTGGACGGGATCGGTCCTGAAGTGGTTTCATTTGACGCAGACATTCCTACTGGTTCACTCTCCTCTTCTTAAGTTATCTGCTGCCCAAAAGCTGTCTCCTCCACCGTGCCCCCCCCCCCCCCCCCGCTCGCCCCGTCGCTGCAAGCATCTTAGAGGGGGGATATTTTCGACTTGGCAACAAACAACTGTGTTCATAATTTTGACGTGGCGCTCAACTCGCCTGTCACTTCAAGGTGGGGGGGGGGGGGTCTGTATAGTTGGTCGGCTCGGGCATTGCTGTTATTTTCACCGCTATTATTGAACAATGCCTAGGTGTGTGTGGTCACGTGTGGCTGCTCGGAAATGGTATTTCGGAGATTTCTATTCGGTCATCGGTCAGCGGAAGATTCCCCCTCCCTCCCTCCCCCAGGCCCCGATGTAAATGCATCCCTCTCTCTGCAATACCCACGCTGTGTCCCACCATCTCTCATCCCTGCGCATACGTGAGCCGACACTTAGCACCATCACCATCACCGCCGACCACATCTCCTGAAACCTTTCACCAAATACACTGCGCACGCTGCAGTATATTTATGATACGTGTATTTAAAAATGCAATACATAGCGTTTGTATTATTATTATTATTATTCTTTAAATAACGGTAATTTTCAGGCCTTTGTCAACTTACTGCTGGTTGAGTGCCTCTTCCCACACCTTGGCCAGTCATGGAGGTTGTTTGAAGTCATACTTCACCACGCGGGTTGGTAAAAGCCAGTTCAGATATCCCTCACCACTGATGTTAGCCGTGGCCCGGGAATCGAACTCAGCGTGCCCGCTCCATCGCTCAGTGCACGATGCATATCCCATCATCACAATCATTCATTGTATGATAGAGACGATTTAACTGTACGTTTATCTACAAGACGGGTTTTTTTGGTATTTGAATGTCGGATGATGGATCGTCAGCGCGCGCGCGCGTGTGTGTGTGTGTGTGCAGTGTTCACGGGCAATTAAAGAGGTCTCAGTC